TTTATATATTTCCGTTGTTTTTTCTCTCCATTCTCTGTTTCTGGTTCTAATGTGCTTAGCCAGGTGTGAATAATGACTATGTGATGAATCCGATGTTCGCAATATCTTTCTTTTCTTTAGAATAAGCAACTACTCATAGTTCGACTGTTCCCTTTAGTTGATCTTAGGTTTATTGGGGTAGGGTTGTCTAAGTCACACTTTCGTTATGAACTAGGAAAAAAAACCGTTTAGCGATCGTTAAGTTATGCGCAGATTGATTCTGCTACATAAGGTAAATGCCTCTCGTTCACATTAAATGGAAACGCAGTTTAGCGAACAGGCTTATTTTCGGTGACTCATCAACTGTCTGGTGCGTCACATTTTATATAACATCACTTTACGATATTAATGATGTCACTGGACTTAATCTTGCTGAAGAGATTAGAATCATTCTGTTTGCCATTCGTATGTAGACACCAGTTTGGCTATCCGATAAGTTGTTATCGTCACTTCTATTTTGTCTAGTTGTTGGCTTTCATCGAAGATATCCCATCTTTTATTTTTACTTTTATGGAATACACATTCATGCAGCTTTCAAGAATGGGTAAGGGGATAAGCAGAGGGCTACCATAATATTATCGAAAATAGTAGAATCGTTCTTGACACGTAATCGGATTTTACGATGCCGGTGGCCCTTCAATAGGTGTATGGTTGTAGGACTACTTTTCAACCGCAGTGTCTGATGGATATCAGAATAATTCCACAATGTTGACTGTCAATGCACCGTTTGATTTTGTTTGCCACATTTAGAATAGAGCAAACCATTCCGGGCAGTATACACCTGCCATGTACTCTGGAGGATTTGTCCCTCCTCATTCGCCCACAGAGCAGGTCATCCCTGACTACGAGGGAGTCTGCAGTACCCACCAAGTATCGGCTCCTCCTTCGGCATTTATAGTGAACCCGACCACGTCTGATCGGTTCCGATGCGTGGGAGTACAGCATCCCGAGCGACTATCCGACTCTGAATTGTCCGATTCCCCTGGCCTCGTGGACGATACAGCAGATTTGGATGAGTCGTTTGAACATGCACCAGAACCCACACCCGCATTTCGTCCCCTGCGACTGAAGACATCAAGCACTGCTTTCCGTGCTCCGGAACCGACCGAACGGTGAGTTCCCGATTCAGTCACTTATGGTATTAACTGCCAACGAATAATGCCCGGTCTCTTAACACATCCCATCAAGGGAAATCAGGAAGAAGTATAACCATCCGGTGGCATATCTTGCACAGGAACCATGTCAGGTTTCGTTGAGCTATGCTGCGCATACCCAGTGCATTCAGTCGGCTTTGATAGTTCGCTGCGAAAACCACTGATCAGGCAAACAAACATCCTCACTTCAGAGAGGTGAGATGATTCGGAAAACACAAGTGAGCACAGAAGGCCACTTCCTGCCGCGTCTATAGCATTTTTCGAATCGAGAGAATCGTTATTTTCA